TTTATGCGCTTGTTTGCGAGAAACTTTAAATAAACATTTTGGTTGTGAGAAAAAACTGGAACTAGTACAGAGATTTTTGTGTTACCATTTCAGTTCTGGATGAACTGAAGAGTGTTCTTGTGAGGGATGATGAATTTTCCACTTTTTTTTTATTCTTAGGAAAATTGGTAACAACTTTTTTAAATTGGTCGCCTTATTTTATATTAATAATTCTGGAAGGTTTTGCAAAATTTTTTTTGTGGTTGAATATCAACAAAGAAGGAAGGTGAAAAGTATAGAGTGATGACAAGTAATTTTTTATTTTGTTCGGTTGCTGATATCATTATGTTCAAATAGAGAATTATTTTTAGAGTAGCATATCTAGTATGCGGGATGTAATTTTTCTAAGTGAATTTTTTTAGTGGAGAAAAATAGATGATAATTCTATGAAAACATATCAGTTTGTTAGATTGGCTAAACTATTATAATTAAGGTGGAGGGGTGCGGAAAGAAGATAAGAAATTTTTTGTTTAAAATTTGTTTCATACATTATGGGAATGTTGTTATTTAGTGACCTAGAAATGCAGTGAGAAGTTTATTTTTGTTTAAAAATTGACAAATAACTACTGGGGGAAGGGCGATAATCGTAGGAATAAATGACAACAAGAATGGTTTTTATTTAAAAATTAATTTTTATTATTTGTTTTTTTTTTCTGTCAGTACCTAAAAGAATTGTTATGTTCAGAAGACAAGTTTTCCTTTTCGTTTTTTTTATGCTTCTGACCTGTCATAGCAAAATAAAAACTTCAGTTTATAAAAATCTACTCTGAAAGTCTGTAAAAAACTATGGGCTGGGGGAGATCATATTGCGTGAGAAAGTGTGGGTGATCGGTTTTTATAGTCGTTTTTCAGTTACGAAACTTTAAAGCAAGTCTTTCCAGGAAAACTTTGTTATAAGTAGTGTCATATTTCGGAGGTTGGTTGAATTTTTGTGCATGTTTTACCCATTTATCTTCCCGTTTTGTTTTCTTTTTTTTTTTTTTATTTTTTCCCTAAGTCCTTATGTATCATTTAGTTTTTAAAATATTGTACAAATGTTTTCTCGTTTATAAACTGATAGGAATTGGATTTTCATGTTATCCAGAGATTTTCATAGCTTTGCGGTTCTAGGTTTCTAGTCTTAGGTTGTTTACAGTGTCTGCTGATTGGCCACTAAAAATTAAACTTTTCAGAACTGTGGTATTTTGCAGTAGCAGAAGTGTTTGCCTTAAATTATTGATCTTTTTAAAATGACAAAGTTTTTCAAGTTTTTTTCTATTATTCTAATAGTTTTGCTGGTTTAGAATATGGGGGAGGAGAGAAGGGGAATGAGAGGGGAGGGGAAAGAGGGAACTTTGTTGAGTAATTGTTTATAATTGCAGGAAAAGTACATACTTTGATTGATGAATTTAAACCACTTTTTTGGCTTAAGTACGGTGTTTTCTGATATAGTTATCGTTGTCATTTTTATTATTTTATTTTGCTTGTATTATAGGATTAATTTCAGATGATTTAATATCGAAAGGGATTACTTTTTGCAGTTTTATTTATTTGAGTACAGTTGTTTTATTGTGGTACTTTTTTATTTGAACGGCTTAATGAGATGAAAAAAAGCTCTGTCAATTTTCTGTGTTTTTTTTATTCTGAATTAAATTTTGAGAGTGTTGTATGAATGAAGTGAATGGTGAATTTTTGATAAAAGCAATTATTTCTTTGTAGGATGTCGTAGAATAGCGTATGGGAGGATAAGGGACGGAGAGAAGGTGGGTGAAGAGTAAGGGAGAGGGGACTGGGTTTTCATATAATGAACTGAACTTCAAGAAGACAGAGAATTTGGCTTCGACAATGAGCGCAATATTCGGCCTTTGGAGAATGTTTATTGATTCATGGTTTTGTCCTTGAGAGGCTATTTTTTTGTTTTTGTTGTGGTTGGAAAACGAACGTTGTATATTAGTTCTGGAACTAAAATGAAAACTTTTACTGGAGCACTTTAGAGAGACATAATAACGGAACAGTCAAAAAGGCTCATGTTAACACTGGTTTTGCTGTTGTTTGTTGTTTCTGAAGTGAAAAGACGTTGAAAAGAGTTCGATAGAATCTAAGTTATTGTATTAATTACTCATTCAGTTCTACATTCTGACGTAGCAACTTTTTTGTTTTTGTGGGTGGAGAGAAGAAGGAGGGGATGGAGTAGGTGGCGAGGGGAATAAAAAAAAAATAAAGAGAAGAAAAGGAGGAGGTTTTATGTGTTATACTCTTTTTCTTCTGCCACTAAACTTGGAAAATTATTAAAAAAAAAAAAAAAAAACAAAGATTACAGTTTGTTTTATGGACATTTCTGTCACATTAGGTTTTACAGATTTTATAACAATTTTTGCTGTTACCTTCTATTTATTATTATTACAGCGTATCGTCTTTTTTTTTT